AAATTTACAGAGACTTTGGATTTCCATTCATTCATTGTTGCACTTTTCTCTCCTCCCAACCCTCTCCCCTAGTATACTACCCTCTTGGAAAAGTAAAAGAAAAATTCTTTCGTTGCTTTCCAATCCCTCCCCCCCAGGTCCACTCCACTATGCAGCCTTCGCTCTGGACTTCTGTTATGACAAAAATACATAATCATATATCCCTTTTAAACAGTTTTCTCCCTCATCTGTTTCAATGCAGTATGCATTATTGAACCCATCTTTCTCAGCCTTTCCCCAACCCCAAGGTCAGTCCTGTTTTACAACAGTGGCACCATGCAGTATTTGTCCTTTTAAGAAAAATTCTTTCATTGTTATATAATCCCTCCTTCCAGTTCCACTCCACTATGCAACCTTCATTCTGGACTCTTGCCATAACCATAACACCCAATCATATATCGCTTTTAAACAGTTCTTGCCCTCATATGTTTCAATGTGGTATACATAATTTATCGCATCTTTCTCAGTCTCACCCCAACCCTGATATCAGTTCCGTTCTACAAAAGAGGTATGCAGTATTTGTCTTTTTGTGACTGAGATATTTCACTCAGCATAATGCCCTCCAGGGTCAGCTATTTTGAATAATATTGTATGATTTCCTTGTTTTTCAATGCAGCGTAGTATTCTATTGTGTGGATATACCACAGTTTCTCTATCCATTACTTTGTTGATGGGCACCTAGGTTGTTTCCAACTCTTTGCTATTGTGAACATGGGTGTGCAGACTTGCTATTTTTTTTTCACTATCAACGTGACTTTTATTATAGTTAATTTATGACCCTAATTCACCATTATAATTAAAGCTTATTCAGAAAAATAAATAGGCATTATAATGACAGAAGACTTTTCAAACACTTTATCCCACATGATATTCAAAAGTAAGCAAACATCTTCAAAACCACATTCAAGAAGCTGATGAAAAAGTTGTGGCCGTTTCCAAGACACATTGGCCAAACCATTGTTAATTCTCAACAAAGTTCTTATCTGTTGGATACCTGCTCTCACAGTTAATATTACATTAGATGCTTCAGAACAAGTAGTTTGACTTTCAATAAATATTTAAAAATATATGTTCAAGATTTATAATATTATTCACAGAATCCTTGGCATAGTTGTGTTTTAGGTTTTTTACTGCTTCGAAATCTGAGGTTCATGTTGTATCTCTTCTAGTCCCAAAAGCTGTGTTTTGAGTTCTCCAGGCTTTGGTGGAATTTCAGGCATTGTCAGGTCTGGCTGGTAGTACCGGTGCACCACTTCGGCCCCTGCGCACATGGCCAGCAGGCTGGACGCGAACATTTTCAGATAGGTGGGCCAGGGCACACCCGCGGGCATGGTCAGCGGGCTCTGGAACGGAAGACCAACACCAAACAGCCGACTTGCTATTTTTTAAAAACTTTTTATTGTGATTTGATTCAAAGTTTAAGAGTATGTATTAGTGTTCCAATCAACCATTCACATGCATTTTGTTTAATGATAATCTCCACACCAAAGCAGCATACGTCCTACTTCCTCCTTATAAATCTTGTTTCCATTAATTTCCCCTTTCCTGCCCTCTAAGCTTCAACTCTAGGCTAATGCTGCCTCATTCATCTTTTTTTTGTTTGTTTGTTTGTGTGTGAGAAAAATTTGTATGTAGACCTAGCCAGCTGGACTCAGCGTAGATGATCCCAATTTTGTTGGCAACATCCAAAACATTATAGTCAGGAGCAAGTTGACCATAGGCCTTCTTCTCTCCATCAGGCCTGATCGAGGTGTTGGTTGACAATGGCCACATCAATGTCATATAGAGCTTCTTTACAGCTTGTTTGATCTGGTGCTTGTTGGCCTTGACATCCAGTGAACACAAGTGTGTTGTTATCTTCTATGTTCTTCATGGCTGACTCAGTGGTCAGAGGAGACTTGAGGATGGCATAGTGGCCAAGCTTGTTTCTCCTGGGGGTATTTGGGCTGCATCTGGAGTATCAGTGTCTTAGTCCACTGGAAGGGGGGTGACATGTGGATCTTCTTTTTTTTTTGTGGTTGTGGATGCCCTTCAGGATGCCTTCTTGACCTTTAACGTCTTTGCTTTGGCTTCAGTTTTGGGAGGGGCAGTGACTCCTTTGCTTTCAACACCATCTTCATAGAAAGGTGCCTCACTGATCTCATATGATTGCTTCATTATCCTAATACTCCTACATGGCTACCTACTATTAGGCTGATAGTTGATCTCTGTGAGTGAATTCAGTTCTAGGCTCAAAAGTCACAAAAGCCTCAAAAGTCGGGGAGCTCTGGTGGCCTAGTGGCAAGAAGCGGCACTGCAATCCCAGAGGTGCATGGTTCAAATCCACCAGATGCTCTGCTAGATAGAGGAGGGGCAATCTCCTCCTGTACCAGTCAGATGCGATTTGACGGTACACACACAAACAATAATAAAATAAAAATTAAAAAAAAATTTTAAAAGTCAAAAGTGACAAAGTTAAGCCACTGCGTGACACAAATGAGTAAGAGCCCCACAACTAGGTGAAAGGCTGGCGGTTCGAATACAGTCAGAGACACCTAGAGGACAGGTCTACCACTCGGCTTCGAAAGATCACAGGCTTGAACATCCCACAGGGCAGTTCCTCCCTGCACATATCTGCTGCTCAGCCGGCATCAATTAACAGCCCCTCACAACAACAACAATGAATAACCGTGTCCTTAACTATCAAGCTGTTGTGGCTCTTGTGAGAGGCCATCTACTTCAACTCTCAGCAACACCGTGTGACAGTACAGAACTGCTCCACGTGGCCTCTGGGCTGTATGTGGTCTTTCTGAAAGGAGGTGACCAGTCCGTGTCCTGCAGAACATCTGGGTGAGCTCCAACCAATGATTTTATTGAGTACACAGCCTAGTCCATACTTTTTCAATCAATATGCAGAACAGATCATCAGGGAGGCTGGGCTCTAGGAGGAGAAATGTGGCATCAGGATTACACAACCCTGCTTGCTGAAACTGAGGAGGACCTGAAGCACTTGCTGCAGAAGGTCAAAGACTGCAGCCTCCTATATGGATTGAAGCTCAACATGAAGGAAACAAAGATTCTCACCACTGGGCTGACTGGCAGCATCGTGAAGGATAGTGAAGTGATTAAGATTGTAAACAGCTTTAGTTTGCTTGGCTCCACAAGCAACACTCTCGGCACCAGCAGCCGGTAAATTAAAAGAGGGATTGTGCTGGGGAAAGTCTGCTGTTGGAGACCTCTCCAAAGTACTGAAGAGCAACGATGTCAATCTGGAGACTAAGGTGCGCCTGCTTCAAGCCATGGTTTTTATAATCACTTGCTATGAATCAGAGAGCGGGACAATGACTAGAGAGGATAGAAGGAGAATTGATGCCTTTGAGCTATGGTGTTGGAGAAGAGTATTGAACATACTGTGGACTGTTAAAGAGAATGAACAGGTTAAACCTAGAGAGGGTTAAACCACTCTGCTCCTTGGAGGCAAGGATTCTGAAGCTCTGTCTGACATATTTTGGTCATGTTGCAAGGAGGGACCAGTCCTTAGAGAGGGACGTCATGCTTGGGTGGGTGGAGGGACAGCTTCAAGGCTCTTCTCTCCCTTCAGGTCCTTGAACCCTGCTGGTGCCCAACAAAGCTGGTGGTGAAGGGGGAGCTCAAGGAGTTTCCACTGCCCTCAATTACAGCCAAGTTCAATTTTACAAACGGGCCAGGCATGGCCTATGAGGCAAAGCATGTCCGAGAATGCCTGCGCAAAGGTAAGGATGTGGGAGCTGGAGAGGGATGGTGGGTACTCAGGCTGGTGGAGACGCCCTTTTTTCCAACCCAGCCCTTTTATGGTGCCAGCAACTGCGGAGAACTACATCTCCCAGGAACCCATGGGGCATCTGCCTGCCTGAGTCACAGGCTGCTGTGCCTCATGGAATTCTGGGAATGGTAGTTCTTTGGCTGGTGGAGCTCTCAAGCGTGCAGGAGGGGGTATATTAGGTAGAAGGAGTTCCTAACTATTCTCTCTCCAGGCCTGAAGGAGAGTCCTGTGATCCCCTTGGCCGAAAGTGAGCTGCTGGCTGACATCCTTGAGGAAGTGAGGAAATCCATTGGAGTCACCTTCCCTCAAGACAAACACTGAATCAATAAAGACATGGTTTCCATAGAGATCTTGCCTGTGGTGGCCTGGGGGGAGCTGGAAAGGTGATTATCAGAGGAGGTGACAGAAAATTATTTGAGTACACTTACTACTGTTGAGTTAATTCTATTCACAGTGACCCACACTGTGAACATTCACACAATGGATCACTAAAAAAATGACCACAAATTTGTGAAAAACCACACTACACAGATGAAGCTAGAACAAATTATCATGAGTGACATAAGGCAAAGTCACCAAAGGATAATGATAAGATACTATTATAAAAAGTTAAAGCTAAGGAAAAGTAAAAACAAAGTCCTCCTTTCCATATTTCAAGTAGGGAGGACCATCCCTTTGGAGATGCAACTATCTAATAAATGTATCTTCTACTATTTTTTTATTATTATTATAAAAGTCCATCAAATCGGATCTGACAGGTACAGGAGGAGATTGCCCCTCCTTTTTCCAACAGAGCATCTGGTGGATTCGAACCGCGGATCTCTGGGATTGCAATGCAACTTCTTGTGACTAGGCCACAAGAACTCCCTTATCTTTTACTATTTTTATCCTCAAAAAAAAAAAAAATTAAAAGTGTATACAGAGACTCAGTCTTGGATTGTTAAAAGGGATTGAATAAAGAGAAAGGCAATATACACTAAGGAACTGGTTAGCCATTTTATGGAAATAATGGCATTAATCAGTTGTAATTGTTATAAAACAAAATGTCTTATAAACAAAACAGTATGATCTTTGCTGAGCTCTGGTGGCCTAGTGCAGCTTCCTTCCAGAGCTCCCTTACAAAGCTCTTTATTTATGCCAATAACGACTTTCCTCCCCATCCCAACCCTAGTCTTCCAGCAAACTTGAGTGAAGGGTTCCTTAGGATAGCAGTCAAGGTCAGCTCTGTCTCATGTCAGGTCTTTGATTCTCAGCTGCAGCAGTGGCTGCTTGCCTATAGGTCTGGCTGGTGTAAGAATGTCCGGTTCTTAAGGGAGCTCTGGTGGCCTAGTGGCAAGATGCTGCACTGCAATCCCAGAGGTGCGTGGTTCGAATCCACCAGATGCTCTGCTGGAGAAGGAGGAACAATCTCCTCCTGTACCAGTCAGATCTGATTTGACGGTACACGTAAAAATAATACAATAAAAATAAAAAAAAAGAATCTCTGGTTCTGAAGGGTGTGCACTGCATCCTGTGCTGCTTCTTTGCCAGTGGTGAGGTTCTAAAATTCTGCTGCAGAATCTGCTCAATTCAATAATGACCAGACTAACCAATCCTCTTGTGGATACACTGATACACCTTATTTGCATATTCAGACCCATCCACACAAAGTTAAACTAGAAAAGCCATTTGGAACAATAAACCCTTAACACCACAATTGCACACACACATTCACACACAAAATTATGCCATGATTACATCAATGTGGTCATGATTTTCTTTTTTTTTAAATTTTTTCCCTTTTTAAAAATTCATTATTAATTTCGGTAAAAATTTAGAGAGACTTTGGATTTCCATTCATTCACTGTTGCATATTTTCTGTGTTCTGTAACTATGTGTGGTAAACTCCAACCTCTGTGGTGTTAAGGAGTTCCAGTAGCCTAATGCTAAGGACTTGAGTTGCCAACCCAAAGGAAAGAGGTTCAAATCTACCAGCTGCTCTGTGGGAGAAAAAGAGAACAATCACCTTCTTGAGTAATTTGCAGCTTCTGAAAACTCACTCAAGGGTCACCTGTGAGAAGTCTCTGAAAGCCACTGTACCTTGGATGATTGCATATGGGAGTTTAGAAGTACTGCTTCAAGAACACTCAGCGGGAAGTTAGCTGAAAACAGCTTAGTAGGCAAGCATGTGGACGTGTCCCCAAGAAAAACAGGGTCATGAGACCTCATAAGACCCAGAAGAGCGCACGCGCGCGTGCGCGCGCGCACACTCACACACACACACACACACTATAAAGAAAGAGTGAAGGAAATAAATACATAGACGTTTCATTGGTTTTGCTTCTCTATAAAAGTCAGTCTAAGACAGTAACTGTTCAGGGAGCTGTGGTGGCCTAGTGGCAAGAAGCTACACTGCAATCCCAGAGGTGCGAGGTTCGAATCCACCAGATGCTCTGCTGGAGAAGGAGAGGCAATCTGCTCCTGTACAAGTCAGATCAAAAATAATAAAATAAAAATTAAAAGACAGTAACTATTCAGGGACACCTTGTTGTTCTGTTTCCATTCCTTTGGTGCCCTACCACCGCTAATATTCTCACCTATGTTTGAAAGTCACTGTTGACTGTTTGATCTCACACAGGTGATTTTGTTTTCTCCAAGGAGTCCAGTACTTGTAGGCAATATTCTTAATTATTGTCAATACCGCTGCTGTTGTTGTTGTCGTTGTTTGCCTTCGAGTCAACCACAACTCATAGTGATCCAATGAACAGGGCCTGAAGCCCCTCTACAAACATGGACATTTATGAATACTAATGTATTGTTGTTGTTATGTGCCTTCGAGTCGCTTGTGACTCACAGCGACCCTATGTACAACAGCCCTAAACTCTGCTCTATCCTGTTCCAATCGCACTGCCTCGCCACGCCCATCCCGATTACCCCAGTCACTGAATCAATCCACCTCATAGAGGGTCTTCCCCTCCTGCGCTGTCCCTCCACTCTCCCAAGCATGGTGTCCCTCTCCAAGGACCTGTCCATCCTTACAACATGCCCAAAGTATGTCAGAGGAAGCCCCAGAATCCTTGCCTCCAAGGAGCAGCCTGGTTTAACCCTCTCCAGGATCTATTTCTTTCTTTTTTTTTTAATTTTATTCTTTTGTGTGTGTACCATCAAATCAGATCTGACAGGTACAGGAGGAGATTGTCCCTCCTTCTCCAGCAGAGCATCTGGTGGATTTGAACTGCATACCTCTGGGATGGCAGTGCAGCTTCTTGCCACTAGGCCACTAGAGGTCGCCTCATGTATCTATTTCTTGGCAGTAGAGAAAGCATCTGAAGAAGGGACAGTGGAAAGTGATTACATACATGTCACTGTTACACTGCTCTTTCATGCTGCTGTTGCTGTTGTTGCATCCCTTTGAGTCAGACCAACTCATGGGTGAACTTCCAGTGGGTTTTCAGAGGCCGTAAATCATACAGAAGGAGAGTGCCCATTTTTCTCCAGTGGAGCAGCTGGTGGATTCGAACCAGGCAGCTTTGCGTTGGCAGCATAATTTCTTACCACTAAGCCACCAGCCCTCAGCGAGATGGCCTGACACAGTCACGGCAGGAATGTGATCAGGTATGTTACAGAGATAATAAAGATGACACAAGAAAACAACTCTGAGATATCATCTCACTTCAGTAACAAAAGAAAATTTAACAGAACAGCAAAAACAGCAAATGCTGGCGAGGTTGTAGAAAAACTGGAATCCTTATTCACTGTTGCTGGGAGTGTAGGATGGTGCAACCACTATGAAAGGCAGTGTGGAGCTTTCTCAAAAAACTGCAAATAGAAATACCATTTGACCCAGCAATTCCACTGCTGGGAATTTACCACAAAGAAACCGTAACTGACACCCAAGTAGATATATGCACACCTATGTTTATCATGGCTTTGTTCACAGTAGCAAGGAGTTGGAAACAACCTAAGTGCCCATCAACAAACGAATGGACAGAGAAGCTGCGGTATATACACACAATGGAATACTATGCTGTGTTGAAAAACAAGGAACTCATGCAATATTATTCAAAATACATGATCCTGGAGGACATTATGCTGAGTGAAATATCACAAAAGGACTAATAGTGCATAGGGCCACTGTTGTAAAACAGGACTGACATCGGGGTTGGAGGGAGACTGAAAGAAATGGGATAAATTATGTATACTGTATTGAAACAGATGAGGGAGAAAACTGTTTAAAAGGGATATGTGACTAGGTATTAGTGTCATGACAGGAGTCCAGAACGAAGCCTGCACAGTGGAGTGGACTTGGGGGGAGGGGTTGTATAACAATGAAAGAATTTTTCTTTTACTTTTCAAAGAGAAGAGCGATTGGGAGGGGAGGTTGGGCAGGGAGACAAATTTAACAGTGAATGAACGGAAATCCAAAGTCTCTGTAAACTTTCATGAAAATGAATTAATTAGGGGTGGTGGGCAGGGAAAAGAGTGCAACAATGAATGAATGGAAATCCAAAATCTCTGTAAATGTTCGTTAACATTAAAA